ATTAAACTAATGACATGTTATAGAAAATAATAAAATAGCGCCCTTCAAAAAAATAAACATCAGAGTATGCATATACAAAATGATTCATTGATAATTTTTTTAATTCAATATCATTTATAAGGGTGTTAATTATAATTTTTTAAACGTTAGGGCAATAATTAACTAGTTTGTTTAATAGATAATAGTTCAATTAAAATAATGACTGGTCAATGGAATTTTTTATACCCGTATTTAGGAATTTAATAATAATTTGAAGTAATGACTGGAGGTGAAAATATCACAACTCCGATAACTTTTAATCAATTATCATTTCATTGAAATTTATTTTTCATAGTAACTCTATGTTTTAAAGTACTCGTAACTTGATAAGTACTTTATCTAAAATTGTTATTGAACCACTAATTTTTTTTGTAAGAAAAAGGCTAAATTAGAATAATTAATCATTTTGAGAAATATAAAAAATAAGATTTTTTTTATTTTTATTATTAGTGATGTATTAATAAAAAATATGTTTTGAATATAGTCTAATAGAGCCATCATTATTAAAAAAAAATTTTAAACGAAATGATAATCGAATCATAAGTTATTGGACTTGTCATATCTTCATGATTTACTTTTTTATATAAAAGTTACTTTTAATGTTGACAGTGATGTGCTATGGCATATCTAATTAAATATCAGAATAAATTTATCTGAAATATTTAGTTGTAAATAAATTTACCACAATAAAAGGAGTCATAAACGATAGTTACTTAAGCTAATTCAAATTAAATTCAAAATAGAAATAAAATATTCATAGTATTTTTTATATTCTTCATATATTATTTGTAGAGTAGTGAAGTTTCTTCAATATACTTATGAGAACACTATATGCCAAAAACTCTTGTTATACGGACTAGTAAACTTTCATGATGTTTCTACTCAAATTGGGTACAAAACAACATGTTGTCCATAGAGAGTAAAGTTACAGGATAGTTTTGCCTGCGTCACGTTGAACTTTATAAAATTTTACCTTTTTTCCACAATAATCTTATAGAGTGGGGATTAGTCGATCTTCAAATTTACCACCATAAAAAACCAGCAACAAATAAAAATTTTAACGCATATAAAAGGTCAATTTAAAAACAAAGCAGTTTCTATTTTAAAGCGAGAAAAATTGAAAAACTATTTCTCCCAAGTTGATATTTAGTACATCAGCTTTCGGCCATTACCACATACGAATATTAGATGTATTACTCTTGTAGCTCCTATTATTTGTCGGAACAACCACTTTAGCTTAGTTTAATGGCCACACAAAATGTTTTAACATTTTATATGACAAGTTAAGTTGTTTTTCGATTATGTAACCGTCATAAACGATTAATTCATTTTTGTATGCGTCAAATTCAATATCTATAAGCTTTCAGCAGTTGAGGGGTCCAATATAATAATCTCCATATTTTTTTGAAATTCAATCTTTTATCATTTTTAATAGAAAATCATTTTTGCCACTGTTTGACGAGATTATTAAGCATATCTGTTCACTAAAAAGATTATACCGTAAAAATTATGATGACACATTAAAAGTTCAGTAATAAAATTATTTCGTTTTTTGTTTCCTAATCAAGTTCAAAGAATGGAGAAAGTCATTTATTGTATTGGCTCTTCAATTATAATTTTAATTTGTTTAATGGAACCTAAATATAGTAAAATATAAGTGGCCTAAGTTTTTAACAATTAAGCTTTAATATATTGCATTTAAAAAATAAATGAAATAAATGTACATTTTACCTGCAACAGTATGAAATATAAACACCTGTAAATATCAAATGATCATGTAATTTTGTTTGTATTGATACGTATAAATTACAGCAGTTTTAAAATGTCTACAATTAATAAAAAACATATAAAGATTTATAAATGAATAAATAGATTTTAAAACTATTTTTTAAACTTAAAACCATGACTGAATAAGATGAAGATATTAAAGGGTTATGGATTTACAGCTAAAGAAATAATAATTTTACTCTATTGATGTCAATTATTGATAATTGATAATTGATGCTAATAATTTACAGCTAAAGAAATAATAATTTTACTCTGAATGTGTATATCATTGTTCCATATAATATTACTATAACCAAGAATTTTATAAAGCTTAAGCATTATTTGTAAATTACACTTTATGATATTTTCCAAGACTGCAAACAGTAGAATAAATTTAAGTGCACATCATTTACGCACCGTATAATAATCATCATTTAGAAGATAACTAAAATAGTAGTTGCGACTTACTTGAATATTTAATCATTAATTTAAAATTCAGGTTTAAAACCCCCGAGTGATAAACATATATCTTTTTTCCTTGGCAAAGGCAATGTTAAGAGTCAAATAAATACTTAATATTTTATAAGACAACTTGGGACTAAAAATAATTTAAAAAAACTTTTAGAAAAATAAAAAATGCAACACATGGTTTGCTACAAAACCATGCATACAAAACAGTCGACCTAAATTTTGAAATTTGAGAGCAGGTCTTGATCAAAATTATTTATTTTGTTTTTACGACAGTTAACACGTCAACGGTAAAATTACATTATACGATGTGAATAATTACAATATTTTAAATGTTTTGCAATATTTAAATAATATAAATTTATTATGTTTTACGTTGTTCGTTATTGACTCGTCATTAATATTTTGTTTTACGTTTTACGATTTTTAAACGTTATTGATAATATTTGTTATCTTATTTGGAATAACCCGCGATTGCTTACATTTATCTTACTTAGTTTTTGTGTTGAGAAACACTGGCTTACTTGTTTCCCCCAAATCCTTTATGCCTAATAAGTTATAACGAATCATCAAAAAGTTTTTGTTTTCTGTTTAATTCTTTCCTATTTAGTTTTTAACTATATTTGATGTTTCATTTCTTTTAAAATTATGTATTTTTCGTCGTTATTATATATTTTTCGTTAATCATTCACATTTTTTTACGGTTTATCATTCTAAATCGTTGTTTGGTAATTATAACGTTATGAAAACGGTTTCAAATCCGAAATCATTTCAAGAGAAATGAAATTACAGTGATCTATTTTATATAGCCTTATATCGTCGAATAATTTATACATTTGTAAGATCTTTTGGTTCAATGCCTTCAAAATTCCTCAATACAACTTTTATGACACTTGTCAAATACACTTTCATGATTTTGATTTTAATTTACAATAGAATTTAATATTTGAGTTTTTTCATAAATCTTCTTTATGAAATAATTATTATACCTTATTCCTTTCTGTGTAGATTCAGATTTAAATTTTAAATTACTATTATCCATTATTAAAGTTTATTTATGTAAATATCAATTTTTCCACTGTTACTTTCTTTATCATGGTAGTATGTAGAATTGTTCTCCGTTCGTTATTGTTATGAAATAAACTTTTATGTATATATATTCTACTTTTTATTTTAAATAAGTTGATATTAAACTTTAGATTTTGTTTGTACCATTGAAAACTACAATTGTAATCAGAGAATAAGATGATTAAATGAAAGGGAAAGTTAAATTTGTTTCAAAGAGGTGGTTATGGATGATAGTTAAATTAATTTTATATTGATTAAATTTATTGTACAAAATTAATTTTACTTATTAAAGTATTAAAGAGTATTTTCGAGTGAGCAACATAAATTTTTTGGTATAAAGAAGGAAACCAATATAATGTAATTAATTTGAAAGTATTAATTTTGATTAAATTAAATGTAAAATAACTGAATTTTTAGATTATTTAAAAAAAATCATTTAAATTTTTAAAAAATTATTTTTAATACATTAAGTATTATTAGTTATAATATTTAGTAAAGTAAATTTATTTATTTAAAAATATATTTTCATTCTCATTGTTGTTAAACATGTATTTTATAGTATTAATACAGGATAAGGCGTGTAAATAAGCCATTATTGAAACGAGCAACGCACTGTAGATTTTTGACGACAAAAAAAAGTCCATTGATATATTCTATTTAAGATATGTACATGAACATATCTTATGGAAGATATCATTGAAGTGATGACTATATTCACAGAAACAACTTTAGGTTTTCTCTATAAAGCTCTTCGAGTCCTATTCCAAAAAAATAACTATTCTCGCGTCCCATCCTATAAATTTGTACAACTGGAATACTATCACACGCATATATGTACTAAAATAATGCTGTTTCAACATTGATATTAACTTTAAAATAATTGGCTATCGTCGAAAAGACAGAAAGTTTAACCGTTTTAGGTTTAAGTCTCACATTCAACGGGAACTTCTGATACACATTTAAAGTTTACAAATTATTCAAATCCAGTTCGTTATTACATGATTGTTTAAAATTAACACTTTTTATGATCATCTTGTCATCACAGTCAGTTATGGCGTTCTTAAATTAATTGATTTATTTCAAATATAAATTACTGGTTGAAAATCTTAAAAATTTTAATCTTGACAGCTTTTTACCACTTATGTTTTACTTCTAAGTTTTTGATAAACCTAATGTGTAAGATGAGTTTTCAAACTCAGTGAATTCGTGTTAAGTATATTAATGATGTATTTACTTAAAAAAAGAAACTCAAAAGTTTTAATTAAATTAAATTTAAGTTCCAAGTGGTATTATCTAGAATATATAAAATTTTACTTTTATTAACCAATGTACTATTTAGTGTTGTGAAGTTAATGAAGCAATTTGATAGTTGAAACTATTTAGACGAGAAAAAATTCAATCATAAAAATATAAAATTAATACACAATATTAGTTATTTGTGTGTCTGTTAAATATGCAAATAAGAACTAAAGGGCAAACAGAAACAACAAGGTGTTGTTATAAAATACCATCAAAGCTATTTTTATAAATCCATTAGTTTTTACATAAAAAGACATAGGATAATAATCTACGGGTCAATTAGGTTGCATTTGTTAAAGTGACCACTAAAGCAAATTAATTTTGAATTATAATTTAATAGGTTAATAATTTTTCCGCAGGCTATCCAGTTAAATCATCGGAAGGAACCAGTGATTATTTTAACTGATGATAACGACGTATTGGAAGATACAACGTTGTGCCCTTCATCAACAAAAACCTATCCGTTTGCTATGGTTCTCCGACTTCGAGTGCTGCAAGTAAGAATTTATTACCCGGAAAATATTACCAATGATAAAAACGAATAGGAAAAGTCGACCAATGTTTAAATTATTAGACATTTGAATCGCTTATTTAAAAGAGTTATAATACCTCAAAGTTTTGAAAAATGAGGGATTAAGTGCAAATTATATTTTATGGATTTTTTTACGGTCCAAGATATTTTGCCGTCCGGGGCAATATATTAGAAGTGCGTTTTACATTTTTAAGTAAACTTTTTTTTTGTCCATTATTAATCTCCGAAAATTTACTACATTAAATGGTGTAAGCAGTATCGAACAATACAGTTCTAAATCTTTTTGAGTTTATTAGATACATGAATAACAATTTAAACATGTTTTTTACTGTTTAACATAATCATACATTTGGACTTAAATTTTCTTATCGTCAGATATAGTTTATATTTAAATTTCAACTTTTTTTATTTTCTCATTATATAAAAATAAAAGATAAATTACATTAAAAGTATTCATATTTTAAATCTAGGGCACTAGTTTAGTTCGGTTATTTTCCACATTAGTCGTTTTTTCCTAGTCTTTTTATTCATTAAACGCTTCTTCATTAATCGTTTTATCAATAGCCGTTTTTTCCATTGTCCGTTTTATCGGCCAATGTAGGAATTTATCATTATTTTTGAATCTAGAATAAGAGCTACACTTGGATCACAAAATTCTCTTTTGATACCTTTTATAATTCTATCTTACAAAAACCTTTTGAATGACGTATTACGTAAATCAAAATGAAAGTCCTATTCTTCGCAATTGTTACCATAACTAAAATAATCTCATGTTTTGTCGAAATGAAATCCTTTAGTAGTATTTTTTAAAATTTATACTTGAGTGTAATCATAAATTTCATTCGATCCATTTAACATGCTTTGAATTTCTATAGTATTACATGTTTCTTTTTTAAAATTTCTCTCTGCTCATTCTTTATTTTAATGTACAAATGTATTAGGATTATATAAATTAAAATGAGTAAGCTTTTTATCGCCTAAAAAACAATATATACCATTTAAACATTTAGTGTAATTTACATTTAAATGGTAGATCAAGTTTACTTTACTGAAAGTGTTAAGTATAATTTAAAGTATTTATAATTATTTTTTTAACAGTTAAGAATAGCGAAACTGATTAATACTGAATCGTAATACTCAAAGCGATTAAGCAACTGGCAAGCTTAATGAGTATTTAAGATTTATTTAGATTTCGCAAATTAAGTCAGATACATTTATACTGTTAACGTCCAATTCTCTAGGCTCTATTGTTGCGACTCGCCATTTCATTATAAATCTGAAAGTAAGTAATAGTATTATGTATCAATTAAGTTAATTGATACCATAAAAATTACTAAAAAATATATTACATAGTTAAACAAACTCATAATACTTAATTAAATTTACATATTCAATATTTTATGTGATTTGTAATTATTTTAGAAGTGAAACATAAAAATGTAATATTCATTGTTGTTAATTAAATTTAAAAAAAAAACATTATATATTTCGAGTACAAATGAATTACTTTAATAAAGAGTCATTTATGTACTCTTTATGATTAAAAATGTTAATTTTTTTAATTTGATATGTCATTACTTAACACTTCAAAAGAATTATGTCAATTATGTACTTACGGTCATTATTATGGGATTGATCATATGTCCATTATAATATAAAGTTACTCGGATTGAAAAGCAATTAGCAAATATTGATTTTGTTACATCACGATATTGTTCACTTGATTACGGGGGAGGTTAATGGCCAATGAACCACCACACTCACCTAATTTTTGCTCATTTTTCAATGAGTCTTAATTGTTTCTCTATTCATGTAAAATTATGTAACTAACCATAATATATTTAAAATTAATGGCAACTGATTTTATTTTTAGTAAGTTTACATGGTAAACCAACGATTTTTTTAAAAAAAAGGAAGTAATTTATACTGGCGTATATTATTTTTAATTATCAAATCATTTCCATAAGGGTATTGTACTAAATAATTTATGATTAGCGGATATGATGTTCGAATCATTGAATGGCATGTACACGTAGCCGTCTGTTACAAAATGTCAAATTGATAACATGACAGGATACTCTGTTAAACTTACCCCATTATCATGATATTTTATACTGAATAATTATTTTACGTTTAACATTTTCGTGATATCGTATATTTCAATAATACTAGTTCGTTTGAGTCCAAAATATATAATAAATTATGTGTTTACACTAAGAAATACAATTATTTTTCCTCTCTTATCGTACATTCTATGTCAAAAATAAGATTAAATTATAGATTTTTAGATAAAAAGAAAATTTATTAATCGACAGGTTACAGTAATAACAAAGTAAGTAATAAGATTTTTGATTTGCAACTTAAAAATTATTCTTGCTTTATATTTAAATAATACAAATATTCTAACTATTCTGTAATATATTATATCAATTATATATATTTTATTATTGAGATGTTTGTATAACATTAATTATTACTCGATGTAAAATGAAATAAAACTTTCAAACTTATTTTATTTATAAGTGATTAAACACTTAACAAAAAATGTTCACCGAATAATATTTTCATTTCGGTAGTAAAAATAAAATAGAAAAAGTGATATTGTTTAATATAATAAATCAATATGACAATGAAGAAATAAAAATTCTATTTAAACATTTTTAGTTAAGGTAATTATTAATTTCGAGATCAATGCAATTGAATAACGTTTATTAATCATATTAAGTGTTATTTAGTTGAAAAAATATAATAACTCAAAAAGAAAATAAATAGGACAAAATAAAATTTTACAAAGAATTAAATAAGGTGGCGATATTTATGGTAATTCAAAAAGAGGTATCTTTAAAAAGATAACTTAAAACGTCACTCACAAGCAGCTCAAATATCTGTCTTTTATTTTTCTCGTTCTTTAAAGTTACCATACACAAGGAGATGTTTGTTGTAGTTACTCCTTACTATAAGGAAGTGAGGTTTGAGAGTTCAAACAATAAAGCACAATGGCGTAGAAATTGAATTATTCCTTTTATTTCAGTTTATAATTAGTTAAAGGGATTGTATGCTAAATGAAGTAATGTTGTGCCTCGAGTGGCGTTTTTCCATTCCTCGCCCCAAGGGTTTTTACTTTGAGTAGCCTGAGACTGTTGTTATACATCGCCCCAAGGATTTTTACCCAGAGTAGTCTGTTTTTTTCCACCGCCCTGGAACTGCCGTTAGGCATTACTTCAGAGTCGCCCCTAGTTGTTAAACCCACGCCTTGCTACTAGGTCTTTCTGCGTGTAACTGTATTTGTATTTCCCTTAAACTAATTTGCATNGTTTTTTTCCACCGCCCTGGAACTGCCGTTAGGCATTACTTCAGAGTAGCCCCTAGTTGTTAAACCCACGCCTTGCTACTAGGTCTTTCTGCGTGTAACTGTATTTGTATTTCCCTTAAACTAATTTGCATAATCTTTAGTAAAATGAATTAATTTTTCTGTTTCCTTATTTTCTCATTTAGAATACTTTATTGTTTAAAGCTAAACTATCTGAGTAGCAACTGAATTCGCTAAATTACCAAAAAAAATAATGATTTTTCCTTACCTTATTTTGTCAGTCTAAAAGTGCTTATCAATATTCTAACGGTGATTTGAATAAGGGTGTTTATTATTTTTTTCGAAAAATTTTACCTTTTCTCTTTCACACGAGATATAAAATAAAAACAAACAGAATTGTCTTTTATTTAACTAGAAATACACGTGATAAGCAAAAGACTTTTAATTTAAAGTGATCAGGAACACGCGTCGCCTTATACAAGTGTGTTATATTTTTACGGACGTTCAAATGGACGACGTATGGACATTTAAACGGACAGTCCAGCGATCATTCTGACGGGAATCCCAAATGGTAGGAGTTTATTACCCTTTTAATAGTTTCTGTATCCCTTTTTTTTGTTATAACCTTTTGTCGACCAGGATTTATTGATGTTTTTATTTTCAAAATTATGTTATTTCAGTACTTGAATAATTTATCTAGTAACAATATACATTATTATGTACAGGGTGTTCAGTAAGTCAGGAAACGGGTTTCTATTGTTCTCATTGTTTGTAACAATGAGAACAATAGAAACCCGTTTCCTGACTTACTGAACACCCTGTATGTAATATGCGTTGGTTATTGAAATGATTTCAGGTAAATTTTTGGAGTACGTCGACTGTTAAATTATTTGCATAAACTATCTGATTACAATCAAAGTAATTCTGATGATATAATTATTATCAGAATAAATTATATGATCTGCCCGAAATATTACACGCATAATTATCTTCTCGTTATACCAATTTATATATATTGACAATCAGTAAATTCTAATGTATGCATATCATAACAGAAAGGTGAAATAGATTTCTGACACTATTTTGAAAACGCGTTGTTCCATGTTTGAATTGTTCGTGTTAAGCCAACCATTCGACTATGAATCTAAATTAATTACGCCAGCGTTTCTCATCAAGGCTTAGTCTCTTACGGCCCTTTTCATTCTAAATTCTAAGCGTTTCGATTAAGCCACGATAGCTATAAATATATTTATAGTTATCGTGTCTTAATGATTAATCTATTGAAATGACCATCACACTGTATTATCATGGACATTTCAATAGATTAATCAAAACAGTTCAAAATAAACCGAACAGAATTTCGAAATGCAAAGAATACTCTGAATCTGAAACGCCAAATAACGTATTCAACAGGTGTAACTATTTATTAATGGCATTTAGAAAATATTTCAATAACTTTAATTATTTTTTATTCAACGCAATGAGTTAGTAAAAATTAACTGGAAACAGAATACGGTAAAATGGTTATATTAACTTCATTAAAATTAAATATAAAATCCAATTTCTTAACTTGAGTAATTAAACTATATAAATCCTTTTCCGTTGATTAGAATAAATCTAAAGTAATTTGTAATAAATATGATGTTTTATTAGGGATCGAATTTCAATGCATATTACATTTTTTTACATTATCTTAGGCGATGCTCTCTAAGCACAAAATTCAATTTATGTAATAAAAGTTTTAAAATGACAATTTTTTTTCATTATTTTGAATTTGTAGTTATTTTTTTTTTTTTTGTTTTTAAAAATATGAAGTTAAATTTCCCAGACATTTTGTTTTGATTGCGCTAATCAAATTATCGTGTTTAAAATTTCATTTTATTTAATATTAATTACTTTTTTAAATATTAAAAATTTAAACTATTAAAAGTTACAATTTTTTAGTTAAAATTAAACTATAGTTTTTTCTCAAAATCAAATCAATTTATAAAAAAAAGTTTGAGCAATTTTGTTATGTAAATACATTTTTTTTATTTTAATATAGTATTTTTTATTTTAAGGCAACGTTATAAAGCATATATAGATTTTTTAAACGTTTTAAAACATTTTTATACTGGCAATTTCATATAAGAATTTTTGAAGTTTTTAAAGATATTTAAATCCGGAACCTATTTATAATAAATAAATTTTTAAGTAAATGTACTTTTAATTATTAATTACAATCCACAGTTGATTAAGAAACTGATCAATTATATTTTTATCATATATTATTATAATTCGTTTATTCTTTTGTTTAAAACACATTAAGTACAAAAATAAATAATAAACAACTGAACTCAATAAATTCGTTTCCATGTTACTTAGAATTAAATTAAACATCACGTAAAGTAACTTTCAACAAAACAAACATATTCGCATAACTCTAAGCAATCTTTGATATTAAAAAGGCTTGACAAAATAACTTAATATATACTAAATTATTTCTTTGTTAAATATTTTGTTATAATAATTTTATTCTCATGTTTTAAACATATCAAATATAAAAAGACATAATAAACAATTGAACTCTATAAACCTGTTACCGAAATATTTTAAGTTGAATTAAGCACCACGTAAAGTAACTTTTAACAAAACAAAAATATTCGCATAACTCTAAGTAATGTTTTTCACCGAGAAGCTTAAAAAAATAACTCTGTAAAGTTTGGTAAATAAACTAAAATTCGCCTTTAATAAATATTTTAAAAATTTGATACTCATGAAAAAATACACAAAGTAAAGAAAATATTTTAATTATTTCAATGAACATTCCTAAGGGATCCCATTAATAATAAAATAGAATAGAAAAGAATCGTCATAAAAAGTCGATTTGCTTCAAGTTTTTTACGAAAAATAAATGATTCTTAAAATGAGGTACATCGTTCAAATTCTCAGCAATATAAGCGTTCATTTCAAAACTGCGTGACCTATTTTTATTTAGTTTTATAGCTGATAAATTTTCTTATATGTCCTTTTTGCCCTCCCATTGAGTGACTGCATAATACAAAAAAATAAACATTAGAATGTCTTAAAATTATGTAGGTTAAGCTTTTAACAGAAACCGAACTATCAATAAATTATCATCCTTTTTAAACATCATTTTAGTGTAACATAAATTGTATTATATATTTATAGTACATTATCGTTTTTTCAACTATTGTACAAAAAAGAAAAATAATTTACAAGTTAATTAAGACTTAATTAATTATTATTATAAAGCTCCATATTTTTATATGTTACCTTACAATTAAGCATCGTTTATTCTATTCATGCTGTATTTGAAATTGTAATTATAACTTTTTTTGTGCCTTAATGTAGTTTTTTTTTCAAAATTTATAAAAATAAAATAAAAGAGTATTACTAAGTTAAAGACTGTATAACAAGGTTCATTGTAAACTTTTTTTGGCGTCTTTAAAAACTTCTGAGTAATAAATTATCCTGTTTTTATCAAACACCTGGAAAAAAAGGACAAATAATGTGGCATCATTGTTCAAAGGCGAAATTAAAACTATTTAATGACATTTTTTTTCCATAATAAAATATAATCCATACGGGGTCAAGCAGTAAAAATTGAATAAAACGAAGTAAACAAATTAATTTTAATTTGATTTTACATTAAAATCTTTGTACCGTCTATTCACTCGTCTTCTTTTTCCTCGTTTTTATCCCAACTACTTGGGGCAGGCCACCTTTAGTTCCGTTTATTCGCTATTTTTGTTAAATATTTTTTTTAAGGTTACGATAGAAATTTACAAGCTTAAAATACGCTACAAATACGTCATGAATATCAAAAATTAATTATATGTTTTTACCAGCAAATTAAAATATTTTCAATATTTTCTCTGTATAAGTTTGAGATAACACAAACGAGATTATTAAATGTGGATTAGTTTACAAGAGTAAAACTGTGTATTTACCTTCAGAAAATTAAAAAAAACGTTTTTATTTTATCTAAAGCTGAATGATTTAAGATAAAAGACAGACAGTAAAGATTTCATTATTAACTTTATAAGTTTCTTAACACAAAGCCATCTGGTTCTACTTTTCAGTTACAGGTACGTAAATAAATTACTTGCGAATGAATCATTTATTGAGCAAACACATTTTATTAAAAATATATTTTCTTTTTTTTATATAATTGAAAAAAAAATTAATTAAATATTATTTTCTAACAAAAATATATTGCAAAACTTTTTAAAGAAAACATTTTTTACTTTAAATTTTATTTATATTTCTTGTTTCTAAAACAATGTTTTTACAGATATTATTAAAATCTAAAAAGACAATGGTAGCACAGCATTATTGGAGTATCATTTTTAAAGTGGTCGGAAGTGATAAATTTACAAATTCAATAACAATTGTATAAAAATAGTAAAATATTTTCAAAAAAAAAAAGCTAGTCAAAATCGCATTGCTTTTTTTTTTTTTACTATCGCGGGAATAAAGTTAGATATTGTCAAAGTCTAGTAAAATATAAAAACATTGCACTAAATATAATAATAAATTTAATTTAGTATAACCTGTCAATTTCTCTTATTAAGTGATATATATATATTTTTATTTTATTATATAATAACATTGATTTACAACGAAAATTCAATGCTCTTTTACAACAAGTAAGTGTGAAATTCATTCACATTAAATTTCTACATTAATCTTTATAAAAACATACTTTATAATGATGTTCTACTTTTTCTCTCGTATTATATATGATACGTATTTTTGACATTTCTGTCCACAATTTTTTAATTACCATTGTAGTAAATAATGACCTTAATACAATTACGAGGCGAAAGAGTTATTAAGCTTCTAGTCTTTTATTTTAGTTGATGGACCTGACCATAATAAAATGATGTTATTTATTTAAATTATATATAAAAAAAAATATATATAAACTTACCTCAAAAAAATAATTTTGTATTGTTGAGTTTGAATATCTTATTTTTTCGGCTTCTTTACACATTTATTTAAAGGAAATTTATTATGACACCTAGTAATTTAAAAAATAAAAAACTAATAAACTATAATATTAATAAAATATCAAATAATGAACTTTGCTCTCAGCTAAACTTATATTTACAAGAGCCTTATTATTCATTTATGTGTAACGATATTTACTGTTTGAAATAATGAATATTTTACGATTAGATACTTTTCAATTTATTGTTACAAACTGCAATAATATAGAATAATAAAATCTTTACAAAATTTAAGGATATAAAAAGGAACAACAATTTCTCGACTATCGCATCATCATTTACAGTGTTCTAGTTGGTGACTTGATAATTATTTTGAAGATAAAATAATGACATTTTATCGCGTTGTGAGTTACTAGAATCGCACTTAAAATCTCAGAGAATTAAACATTTCATCAGGACAGTTTTAGTAATTTAGAGCAGATTGTCATTTTTGAATAATGAAACATAAATTATTGTTTATACCATCCAACGACTTATAAATAAGGAATGATTAATAATACTTGTTTGCGTGTTTTAGTAGTATGAAAGCAGTTGATTAATTTACAAAAATGAACTACACGCAAATCTTAACTTATTAAATTATAATATTACGTTTGTATTGATATGTGTAAAGTTGTCTTGCTTCACAACAAATTAAAACAACGCTATTAACATTTGTTTTAGTAAGTAATGTTGTGAAGTTCGACAAAATAAACGCCAATAGTTGTATCAATAGATTATAAGTAAAAAAAAATATCCTTAATTTATTCAAAATACATAGTTCAGAAACTTATGAACAGACTCTGTTTTCATACAGTTGCAGTAATCATCGTATTAGTAATATATTTGTGAAGTATTTTATTTACAACTCTCAATGTATATGGATACACCAAAAACACAGAGTTGAATTGATTTCTCGGACATCACCAAGAAAAATTTTTTATTAGCATTATAAGTTTTAGTTTTTATTATGAGCGTACGATATTTATACAAACATTATTCAAGATATTCGAACGAAACCCTTAACTTATATTAAATTCCTTATGATTTTTAGGTAAACAAAATAGTCTTCGATGTACGTCTTACTATGTTTAAAGAATAAAAAATACACCTCATAAATGTTTTTAAAAAGTTAATTGAACGTAAACTTACCCTTTATAATTTAACATAATAAACTGCATAAATACAATTTTATGAACATACTTTTTTAGAATTGAACTTTAAAATCCTAGTGTATTGATATGTCTATCTCTCTTGCATAATTGTATTTTACTTTGAATACATTGTGTATGGAAAATTGATGCGTAGTACATTTTTTTATAAAATCATAGTCTTACATTGTGCTTAAAATTATTGAGTTATTTATAAATATTATTTTTAATTTTAGATTTCTACACTTGAAAACATCTATAAAAGTCATTAATTGTGACACAACATACATATTCCTACAGTAGTATATTTTCCATTTTAATAGTATTTCACTAGAGGCATATTTAAAATTACAAAATGAATTCAGTTAAATTCTTTAATCTAAAAAGTATACTTGTCAGACAAATAAGACACTCTGAATATTTTATTTTAAAAATTAGAACTAATAGAAAATTAAAATATAAAAACATAAATTACTTTTGTTATAACTGGTATATATTAAATTGTATAGTTCAAAGATATTGAAACATATTAAAACAAAATCAAAATATTTTAATTATTAAAAAAAACTATTTGAATCACGTGATCAGTCAAATAAAATAAAATTCCGTTTCGAGTTTGGTTCAAGATCAAAATGAGTGTTCGTAACATCACTAGTGTTTACGGAGAAAACTTTTCTTTATCTGCGTTAATTTTCAAAAACTTGATTTTGTAAAACATTTGATAGTATACCATAAAAATTATACATAACATAAAATTTAATTCATATAAATACTTTTGATGTAATTTAATATATATTATGTAATTAAGTATTTTATGACATTATTTTTCGAAATTGATTTAATTTCATTTAATTATCACAAATAGGACGACCTGCGACATTAAATACCATGATTAATTTGGGGATGTTTTAACTAATAAGATATATTGAACATATTCCTTTGTATTTGTGTTTCATTAAACGGGGGATGTAATTAAAAAAGACATGTGACTGTAATAAACAATACATGTATATTATCTATTGCTCTGTATAATGCATTGTTATTTGCTATTATAATATTATAATCGTTCTAAGTTGTAACATGTATTGTAATAATAAATAATGAGCTTTGAAAATCAATGAAAGTGTTAAACATATCACATAGATACGTTATATTCATTGTAAATGTTAAAGAATAAATAATTATAATTTTCATTTTTAGATTTTGCTTTAAAAAGTTTTAGAATTAAAATACAAAAGCAAAGTTGAAACATTTAAATAAAAAATAATTTATATTATATAATTCTGAACTATTATAACTTTATTATAAAAGTATTAGTAACATATTATATGATCTTACGTTTGGGTATTATTTTGATTAATTATGCAAAAATTATTTTGATTTAATAACTTAGATGATAAATTAAAAAAACGTAAATATTAATAAAAATTGTTTGGAACTTGTGTAATAAAAAACACCCTTTACTTTAGACACAACCAAATAGAAACTTGAATGAATACAAAGTAATTCGCACTTTTATAAACTTCACAATGGTGGCTTATAATATAATAAACAAGGTTATAAAAGTTAAAAATAAATGTTAATATATAATAATATATACGTAATACTTTAACGTCAGTAATAATATAAAACTATTATAATAAAAAAAATCTTTTTACTCTGTTTAACTAAGTAATCACGATACTTACTAGGAATTCTACAATAATACAATGATTAACGAGTTAGCGTGCACTTTCAAGATTTAAAATTAATTAAAATTAGTAACCGCATTTATAAAAATCTGCCATTTTTTAAAAAATAAATTTATAAGTCCGTTGAAAGGCGAAACTTTCAGTTTAATTCCATACCTACATTTTTATGATCCAAATAATTTATAAATAAAGTTAAACATTTTATGATGTCAATACTTATAATACATTAGTGCGCTTTTTAATGTTTCACAGTTCATAATCATTTATTTATCAATAGTGTTATCACAATATAAAGACCGTGTAGACTACTACTTCTCAAAATCCTTAAAAATTAATTATATAACCCTAATGCTCAAAGCCAAAAAAATACTATAGATTACAAGTTACATAGTAAAATTTAATTTAATTTGTTTGATTTTGAATTATTTTATTTTTGTGAAAAAATTAATAAAATGAAACATATATGATTCTGTTGTTAAAAAAAACAGCATGAATTTTTCTTTAATAAAAATACTGAAAAATGAAAATATATTTATTTCAAATTTAAGTAATTCTAAAAGAATATTTCATTCTATTACATAATACCTAAAAATACCATTGTTAATGATTAATTCAAAACAATTAACGTTGGACGCCGCCCTAATTCAAAAAAAATCTTTCATTTTATTTTTGAAAGGAAAACAACCTTTTAAATATATTTAAACCGCTTTTAATTTCTAAGTATATTAAAAAAGTTTAGAATAATTTTTTATCCCAAGCATACGCTTGAGTCTACTCCTAAGGCATAAAGCTTCTCTTTAAAATATCATTACATACAAATATTAATGTGTGCGTTTGTGTATAATATTTTTTTTTTCAAATACATAATTGTTTTATAAAACAAATATACAAAACAACCTCGTTAAAACACCTTTTATTAAAACGGGTATTTTAAAATGACCCTTATATTTCATACGTTTTACAAGTCAAAAAAAATTCTGAGTATTTTATAAAAAAACATGAAGTCTATTTCACAAACAGTCTTTCCATAAATATTAAAAATTCTTTCGACCCTTATTTTTGTATTGTCATACGCAGAGTGTCCCACGATATTCTGACATATCCACATTCTTTACATGTGGCAAATTGTCAGAACACCCTGTATATTTTGTCTACGTGACTTTGTAATAATATTGCGTTAATGATTTCAGATCGTTTGTGGCATTACAGGACTCGTGATGGGTATGGTAGCAATAATAGAAGAAAAAGGAAAAATGAACTTGGGCTTAGCAATACCAGCTGGTATACTTACAGTTATGGCTGCAGGTTTGTAGAACTATTTTACGAGTATGTCAAGTCATAGATTGTTTAAAAATGAGAGTAGTCAAAATTGTCTAACAAATAATTATATATTTATTGTATAACGGAGAAATAGTATTAAAGCATTTAATTTTCATTGAATGACGAATGATTATTATTCAATACACAATAAAATTAATATGTGTTTTATAAATTAATAAAATTTAAGTTGATATACTATTTTAACAATTAATTTATTTATGAAAATTTTCTGTTGAGTTATTATTAAAACAGAGTAAATCATTCTTAGGTTAAAAATAAAATAATTCATTTAAAGAAATAAAGGTTTCTAGAGATAATTTATTATTAATGAACCATTGTTATGAGTATAATGGAATAAATAACTGAAATCTGTGCAGAATACTTTATTGACTAAAATAATGCTGCTTTATTAATTATATAAAAAGAAAAAACAATATCTTGCCATGACAAATTATATTTATATTTATATTTAATAACTATATTATATTTAATAGTATTTAAAATGAAACAAGTTTTATTTAAAACTACATATTTTCAACAGTTCACTTCGTGATTAATTCATCTTAGTTAAATCATCATGATTTTTATTAATAAATCATTGTAAATTACATGTAAATAATGTCGTCTATACAATACTTTATTTTCTAAAAAATCGAATATGTTTATTTTATCAATTTTAGTTTTTAGAACTCGAAGTTTATTTGTCTTACAATCCATTACAAGCTATTAGTTTAAAGTGTTAAAAAACCTAATTTACTACCTGTCACAATGTTTCCATTTGGATTACTTAGTCCCCTAATATCCTTTATTATTATTATATTTGAGAGTGACAGTATCCAATAATTGTTGGATTTCACTAACTTTTATTGTTTTTTTTGATGACACGAATTTTCGATTAAAAAATATCTTAGACATAGTTTCTCCGAATGAAATAATACGTTTTATAAAATCTTTTAAAATAATTCTTTATTAAAATTAAGTAAATTTCTTTATTATTTAAATTTATTTATTATTTTAATTTATATTTTAATTATTATAAAAGTATATTAGATGATTTTACTATAATTTTTTTTTTAATTATTCATCACTCATCATTCTGAAGTTTTAACATTAAAAATTTCATACAAAAAAAATCTTTCGATAATTTTTGTATTATAATTATACATAATATCTGATTATTACAAAAAAAGTTTTGTTGTAACTACGTATGAAAATTCTAGTAACAAGTTTCACTTAGGATAAATTTAGGTAATTTATTAAGATCAGAAACATTCAACATAAAGTAATGAAATGGAATATATACTCGAGAAAAGAAAATCTAAGTAAACAAATTAATATAGAGGAAAACATTTGAAAATATCAAGAGTAGCTTTTGTTTTATCAAGTTGATTAGATAAGCACATTTATCTAAAAAAATGTATNAAACACTTGAAAATATCAAGAGTAGCTTTTGTTTTATCAAGTTGATTAGATAAGCACATTTATCTAAAAAAATGTATGATAACTTTCACGTTACAGACTATAAGTGAAGTTTTGATAAGATTAATTTATAATTTGAGTATTTTAGTAAAATCATTGTTGAATATTATGTTATCCTATTTCATATCATCAAAAGCAGATTAGCTTTTAAAATACTCTAAGAGAATCCTTCAAGTAAATCTTCGTGTAAAGTGATAATAACTATTAAACTTAAGATGAATGTTGTAGTATGAAACTTATTCAAAATATTAGAGCAAGAAAAATTTTTAATCAAACAAATTATAATGATTTATTGCATTTAATAAAAAATAAAATTATTCATAAAATTTGCCTGAATCAAGTATTTAAATAGGATTTGCGGGATAAAACTTTTTAATAATTTAAAAATAAAACAGTCTGATGTAAATATTTAAAACATAAAATTACTTGATAAATAAAGAGCTTATGAAAAAAAAAGTCTAATAATAACATAAATTAACAATTATCACTTTTGTATGAATTTAAAAGAATCGACATGATAATGATTTAAATAGAAATAAAGTAGTCTTAAATTTGATGTAGTTAAAACTCAATTAATTAAACTAATTAATGAATTAGAAAAATAAAAAATTTTAAATGTGGGTTATCTCAGTGAAATCATTACACTTGTGGTGCTATATAATACTTCTTTATTGCTCGGCAAATTAATTTTTAATTCCGTATAAACAAAGTACTTACTAAATGTCGAAATGATACGAGTGAAAACCACAAATAAGTATAAAACTAATGATTAATAATTAATAGCCTTAATGTTTTATTAGCTTTTACATTACTGACTGATGAAACCATCAGTTTACATATCAAAAAACTACATTTCCCTCAAAAAAAATAAAAAAATAATGTTATTTCATGGAAAAGTGATCAATTTTTAAAAAGCTTTCCAAATACGTAGAAGTCTTCATAAATCATAATAAATTTGAACTACTATTAAATTGTAAATTTAAAAGTATTATAAATACTCGAATAATATAAGATAAATTAAAAATAATATTTTAATCCAAATGATATTTATTTTGAAAATTAAATTATCGAACAATTAAAATTTATACAATAATAAAATACAAAAGATTTTCACAATACTAACTGATTATTTGATGTTGAAGTGAAAAAATATTATACTGAAACATAAAAATCAATCAATTATTAATAAAGTTCTTTTATATTTATAGTTAATTATTAACAATTAGTTAAATTTATCATTATTATAAATTATTACATGATTTAATTTTCGATACTTTAGCTGTTACAATTTATTTATTTATTTATTGTTTCTGATACAGGCATTAGCCCAAAAATACAATATGTAATTGACAGTTAATATACAACTTAAAATTATCATAAAACTAGAAATATGAACATTATTAGATGAAAATCAATAAAATTGAATTGGACAAGAAGAAAAAATTGAAAACATAAGCAAAAATTTAAAATACAAAGAAAGGCTAAATGACTCCATTAAGAACAAAAAGAATTTAAAAAATCAGGGTCATTATTTGCAGTACGCATTAAACGGGGGAGAGAAGAATTAAATAAATAGCTAGTAGATGAAGGAGGAATTAGGAAAGGGGCAGTATATCGAGTTGAGCGGGCAGGTACCCGTAAGTTCAACTTAGAAAGAAGGACAGGAGAATCAATTAAACCTGCTAAGAGTTTGGAAAGGAAACGGATATTAGACTCATGTCTTCTGGCGGATAAGGAAGGAAGTTGCAAAAAATTTTGAATAGGAGTTAAGTCATGGGGTGGATGGGGTATATTAAGGACAAGAGCAGCAGAGCGTAAAAATTTACGCTGCACTCTTTCGAGCATCATAGAGTCAGTAGCTGTGTAAGGATCCCATAACACCGAACCGTACTCAAGGATAGGGCGGATCAGAGAGCAAAAAAGACTTTTTAGTGGTTTAGAGAGGTGAAATTCATGAGAAATTCTCTGAATGAAACCTAAAGTTTTTAAAGCCTTACAACAAACTTCTTCGATATGAGGACGAAAATTTAAAGTAGGAGTGAGACGAAACCCAAGGTCAACTATAGAAGTAACAGACGAAATAGGAAGGTTATGAATAAAGTAAGTTGAAGGTATAGGATTAGAAATACGTGAAAAAGTCATTTTATAACATTTAGNCAATTAAACTGAAAGTATTTTTAATCGTATTCATTTAATTATAAAGGTCCATAGATGTTTTTGTTATACAGAATTATGAACAGCAAAGTAATTTTTCAGCAAACATTCATAACAAAATAATGATTTGGTTTTTTAATTTAGAAAACAATTTACACTTACATGTAATGTACTCTGTTCTTTTTCTAAAACAAATTACGATTTTGTCAGACGCAATAAAGGAGATGATTGCCAAAACAACAGCAATTAAAATAAATGTTGTTAAATAAACTAGAAACAAATAAGTTTAATATTAGTATTTAAAATAAAATAATAATTATTTATCATTTTATTAATAAATATATTATTAACATATTATAAATTAGTATTAATAAATCTAGCTTAATTTTTGTAAAAAAACTAAAATTTATATTAGATAACATTTCAGTAGCGTTGTTAGGTTTAGATTTTGAGAGAATATTCATAACGAAATTTTTCATTTCCCTTACAAACAAAAAAAAATTGTATCTTTATATATAATTCTTTTTGTTGGAAGGATGATACCATATTCTCTCCCTCATAACTGCGCCAGTATAATACTTAATTTTGTTTGTATTTGTTAAACAAAATGAAATTTACATGTCCATGTGTTAATAAAGGAACGTGATTAAATCATAAGTTATGATTCATAATAATAAATTTTAGAAATATTATTGGGAAATGTTCTTTATTACTACAAAACTAACTAGTATAACTAATCCTATAAAAAAAAATAAAATCAATGTACTGACCAAAAAGAACTAATTACACGTATAAAAAGTTCTTCCATATTAAAAATTAAAACACAAGTTAAAATGCTATAAGTTTTTCAATCAAAATTAAAACTCTGAAAGTGTTGATTTTGCTTTTTAATGATTTATTTAGCCTTTGTGTCGTCTTTGTCGTTGTTAAACATTTCTTTTCTACGATTTTTTTATATTTTCATGGGTAATTAATGAAAAATTAGAAGAAGTTTATTTTTTTAATATCAAACAGTCGCACGGCTAGAAATTCATATTAAGGAGGCATAGTTAAAGAAATGTACACAATTATGGACCTTCTTTTATTGTTGATCATTTCATTTAGAGATGAACATTGCAGTCAATGAGAGGGTCATACCTTTGTGAGCTCCGTGCCTGTGCTACAGGTATCAATGACTACTTTTATTATGAAACGATAATACTTACTCCACACTTCGAAAAAGTCATTTTCGTGTTCTGGTAAACACTCCAAATCTCTGTCTGTTGATACAAATGGAGCCAAAATTGCTTCAAATGTACGCAAATCACAAGCTTTTGTACTGCAGCCGGGTACTTGCAACAAATACGGCTCGTTGCGGGTAGAATTTCGATACGATACCTGTAAAATGGTAATATAATTTATCGAACTGTCAGAACGGTACACCAAAAAAAAACATGAAACTAAATAAATTTTACATGTTTGTATTAAATTTAACACGGTTTACGTCGCAATAATGTAATCGACACTATTTTAGATGGTAGACGCCCGCAGGTCGTGTAAAAAACAGATTATTTAAGAACCTAAAAGACGAACGCAATAAATAGTACTATTTGCATAATATAGTGATACTGTCGGTGACGTCAGCGACACGATCTCGGACGTGAAAAGTAGACAACTTTGTGGACGACGGTGTGCTGATGTGGTGTCGGTGGCGTGAATCTTTTACGGCGACGTCGTATTGCGGCAGGTGGTCGTCAATCGTGCGGTTGTCGTTGGACTTCGTACCACAGACATATCGCACACAGCGGTAGCCGAACTACAATTCATTCACAAAACTAGAGCGATGGGTGTCGAGGGAACCGCGGGTTGCGGTGCTCCGTGTGTGTCAGATTTTATTAAATATTCTACTTCGAGTTATGTTTTTGAACAAAATTCAAACATATAATATCACAGAGGAAGACTTTTATTTTTTTTTATTAAAAATAACATGTTTCTACATTGTTTATTTATTATTATTCTAAGTGAATGTAATATGTTATCATTTGAAATACGTGTCGTCGTCAGTAATAAAACGATCTATGCATTTGTATTCAAGAGTTTGTAAAGAGATAAAATTATTTTCAAATGTAATTTTGTTCTCATTACACTCTACTGACTTTTCCCGATGAGCAAAGTCATCATAATCTGACGCATATTTCACATAATTTCAATGATAACGACGTATTCAGCATTACTCTCGTGTCATAAAGTACTGCATCACACGCATGATCTGTATCAGTAAAATTAATACACTAAAAATGTCTACTAAATAAAACCTTTGNGTATTTCACATAATTTCAATGATAACGACGTATTCAGCATTACTCCGTGTCATAAAGTACTGCATCACACGCATGATCTGTATCAGTAAAATTAATACACTAAAAATGTCTACTAAATAAAACCTTTGAACGAATAACTTTCTTATCCAACTAGAGTGCTACGGCGGGATTAAATTTGCATTATTAAAATAGAGAAGAGTATTGAGCTTAATTGCATATCGTATGTTTGACCTCATACTTTGTCTTAAATTGTCATGTTGAATACATAAATTATTTAACTGGAAGATTTAAATAGTTAAAATGTTAAGGTTCATACTACTTGTGGAATGGTTCATAATTATTAATCCACGAAATACTATAAATTTCAACCAAGCCAAGTAAAATAGTTAAACAAGGATACATTCTTTAGTATATCATACGTTTAAAAATAACTATGGACTAAACAAAAATTAAAACTTTTAAGTGTTTATTTCAGATGTTCAAATATTGCTGTACTTATTATTTAAGACTTTGAAAAAAATGTTAAGACTCTTATTTTATTATTACACATTGATTTAGCTTCTTATATTTTCAACTAGACTTTAAGAATTTATTAGAAAATTTTTTTAATTAACAAATCTTATTTTCATACAATATTTTTATTATATGTTTGTGTATCTGACGCCAAGAAAGTTACACTTGTTATTTTAAAAAAGATACGACTGCTCTTTTTAATTCAAAGAAAAAGAAAATTCTATTCTATAGTAAATAAAGCTATTTTTTTTGTAATTTCGATTTGTTCAGTTAAAATTCGCTAAATATAATCGTTAATAATTATCTCGACTTTAAATACTTACAGTGACAACATAGTTTTTCCTTGAATTTTGTCTCAATTCTAACATTAATAACGAAGCGTATGGAACAGTTTGATTATTAAATACGTTCAAGCTATTTAGGACATTTACAATAGTAAAATCATGAGCTGAGTAAATCCATAATTTTCTGCTTGGATCCAATGTGCCATTTATTTTTTTATTCATATGAGTAACGACTTCTTGTAACAATGGACCTAAATAAAATTTTAAAATTTATTTACTTGTAAATATAAAACTAGTTTTTATTATGACAACTACTAGGAAATATCTTATCTTATTTAATATTATACATGTTATAACTAGAAAATTACAAAAATTAATAATATAGAAATTTAATTCAAAATAAAATTATTAATCAAAAGTTATCTATTATCAATTTTTAAAACAGAATCTATTTTATTGTTGCACTTATTAGCCTTTTGGCATGACTCAGCAATTTTAAGTGAATTATAAAATTAAAAAAAAATTAATTTATTAAGTTATATTAAATAAGTCTTATTTAAATGACGCTTTTAATTTCAATTTTTGAGTTATTCGTCGAAATAAATAAAACTACTTTTTCTCAAGAATTTAAAAATAACATAATTATGTTTTTTACCCAATCTAAGTTTTTTCAGTACAGCGTTGTATGTAGCGAAAGTTTCTTTTTTTATTATTATTGTTCGCAAAGGTTCAGGGTATATCTTTTTAGTCCATTTAGGCAATGTATAGTTATACAACGACTACAACAATAAACAACATAAAATATTAATAAAAATAAAAACATGTATTTTTCCGAGAATAAATATTATAAACAGACAAATAATATTGATTCCGGTTTAAATTAACTACTAAAAACAGATAACCTTAAATCCAATCGAAAAACTCGTTAATAGAATGGTATTAAAATATAATTTTTGCTAAAATAATTACCTCAATGAAAAATATATCATATAAATTGTATACGTCCATTGTATATAAAATATTATTTTTATCAAGTGTAAGTCTTGTTTTGTTATTTATGTATTTAAAAATTTCATCATACTTTTCAAAATACATTTGAACTTCGGATTCTTTTTTAAGTTTTTCCAATTCTTCAGCAAACCTAGGACAACTATTCAATGCAAATAGCTGAAACAAAAATTGTTGATATTTGAAAAAGAACTTGTATAAAATATTAAAATTATAAAACTTTAATGTCGTCGCACTAAATAAGTAGCCTACTGCGATATACTGTTTATTGATTGATAATATTTTAAAACACAGACAAATATTATACTGAAAAATTTATATATAAATTAATAATGAATTATTTTTGTTCTATTGGATTTTATTAGATATATTACAATAAAGTATTATACAATTAACAACCAATGATTATCATTGTTAAAAAATTTTATCTGAATATTAGAGAAATATTATTTGTGAAGCGCATAATGATGGTTTTATATTTATTTAACTAAGTTGTACAAGCATCGTCAATCTAAAATTGAATTAAAAACAAATTACCCTATTTCATTTGGTTTACACATAATGTATTTCAGTTCGATGATACATTCTTGCAAATACAATATGGAAATAAAGGTAAAATATATGACCTACTTTTAGGAAAGTTTGAAAAGCTATAAGCATGAAAAATTGAAGTTAATTCCACTATCAATTTTAAATGTATTCTATTTTTATTCAATTTTCAACAATTTTTTTATAACAAGTACGATGAAATAATACAAGGCACATTATGTTATTTCTTACCATTTTTATATTGCGTGTCATGTCATTTTTGTTTTGCTATACGTGTACTCCAAAGCGAATAGTTTATTTCGGCCTTTATTGATAAAATTTGAGCCCTTTCTCTTATCCACCCATAAGCAGGCTTATTACTCCAGTCTTACAAATAATACTACTTAGGAATGACGTTGTCATGCCTTTCTCAGATCTTTTCAAAAACTCTCTGTATCTTATAGCGTTAAAAATGACTTGTGTTTTATGTTATTGTTTGGTGTCAAATACATAACTTGAGTGTTAAATTGCGTATTTCTCTTATTAATTAACTGTACAGTCTTGTTAACAGTTTTGAACAACCATCTTATTTATAAGTTATAACTCACTACATCTCACGTCAACAGTAACAGAATTATATTTAAAAACACAATACAACAATGATAAATAGAAAAGAAATATAAAAACATGACGAATAAATATTTACTCGATTACTAAGATTAAATATCGTTTGTTTGACATAGTATTTTAAATATTGAAAACCTTATGGAATACTGACAACCTTTTCAGAATTTAAAAATTTAATTACAAAAGTAATGTATTGTCTGTTCATCTTTTTGTGAAAAGGAAACCCGACCAGATATTACTCTACCAAATTGAAATTCTGACGTCGTCTTAACTAAATTCCTTCAAGTTCCATGTAAAAAGTGAATACTACTTGCTTGTAGTCAATCTATTCGTAAAAATGTTCGTGAAGAAACGAAAGTCTTCTTAAAATTGAGATCGAAATTTTATTGAGTGTTAAAATACTATTTTGTAAATATGTATAATTTTATTACCAAGAATTACTTTCCAATAAAATTTGTTTTTTTCGTTTATCCTAATATTTTAATTTAGTTGTCACAGTATTACTAATTTTTATCACCACTTGTTCGAATTTTGTAATTTCTTCAGTTATAAATTCATAAAAATTTAGGAACGTACTATGTCAGTAATAGTCAAGCATTACAATACCTTACCATTTATTTGGAATGCCACTTCATTTCTTCGGACAGTTAAACTATACGATAAATTTCTTTAACGCTTTATTGTATAATATACAGAGTCGGAGTTAGTTCTTTAAGGGCAAATGGTTCAGATGAACCAAATTAGTTACAATTGTAAAATGTAAAGGGAGATATTGGAGATTCAACCTCTATTGTGAAAATAACGACTTGCTAAAATTACAATTTTGAGAAAGTAGTAAAAAATGATTGAGTATGACACTGAAGTTAACTATAAACTAGTTTGATATTAAATATATGCTAAGATGAGTTTCAATAATGTGTTCTGTAAAGCTTGACAAATGTTTGTTGTTTTGACGATACAGAAATACAAATGATATATGAAATTTTAGTACCAGGAACCCATGAGAATCATTGATCATGATTTGCACAGCTTATCCAATAAGTGACCACGGGTGTCCCCAGAAATACATGGGCGTCCCGTTTTAAGTGGCCCGTGTTGGTGACCACTCTAAAGTGGCTAGCGAGACGCTAAACACTATTGCAATGTGTTGACATTGACACATAGAAATATGATTGCATTCATTAGTCCTCATGAATTCCTGGTACTAGATATTGATATTTGTTACAAAATACTGGTTGGTACATAGTGATTTCATCACTAAAATAACCGGTCTATTCAAATATAAATAATTCGTTTCACGATACCTCATAAATTCCTGGTACGAAATTTTAATCTTCATGTTTACAAAAAATTGAACGCAATTTGGATTTTTATTAAAAGACATTTTACACGAGGAGGGATAGATGTTAAACACCACATGAGAAAAAAAATTTTAATTTTACGATATAATCTAATAAGAGTTCAAAAAAATAATTTATGCAAAATCATACACGAAAAACGCCGTGATAATACTTCGTAAAATATATTTTTAAAAATCAAACAATTATTAAACCGAATTTTTTCGAATACTTATTTTGTTAGTATATGGACCTGGCCTTATAGGAAATTTATTTAAATCTAAGTTTTATAAAACATAAACAGAAATTACAGTTCTGTAGATCAAGATTTTATAATTAAACCTCGTTAGTCTACTAATTAATATCAAAATGATCTAAACTTCAATGAAAAAATGTTCTTTTATGAAGAACATAGAAGTTGATTGATTATTAAGTTTTCATAACATTTAATATGAAAAAACACAATCATAAAATTTTTGACAAAATTTAAAAATATATATATATTCAGAAGTAATTTTATGAAAACTTTTTACCAAAGAAATTGTTACATTTTTTATGAAATTTCATGGCGGAAACTAACTAATTTAAAAATATTTAAGTCCAACAATTTGTTAGGGTTTCTTTTTGGAAAGTACTGTTAATATAAAAAGACGATTTTTTAGTACGATTCCCATAAGTAACGATGGGAAAATCGCTAATTTTATATAAAAACTGAAATGAACATATTTACTTTGTCTTGATGTATACTCTCAGTGTGGACTGGTACTATTTGACTATGGTAATCTGTTTGATTGTCCGATCGTTGGACAGGTGGGTACATACCACTCAAATTAGACAGAGCACTCACAATTGTGCGGTCCACGTCAGTGCTTCTTACGTATATGTCATTTGGCGAGTATTTTACAGGTAGGAAATCACAGTAACGTGTTCTAAGCCATTTACCGAGTTCATACTGTTGGTCTACGCCATTCTAGAAAAATATCTCTAATTATGACACATAAATAATATTTGACTGTTAAAGAAAACTAAGATTTCGTTTGTAACAAAAATTAACTAGACTTAATTCACTTTAAAATAGTTTCATGAAATACACGTCTTTGATTATGATGATAAAATACTCGTTAAAACTTTTGAAAAGTACAAATCACACTTCCGAATAAAACTTATTGCATTTATTAACAAACTTGTGAAATTGAACAATAAGGCGTTACAGTAAACAACAATGATTTTAATTCTGTATCTAAAGAGTGCGATTTGAATTTTAATTAATAGAACAAAGAATTTTACGAATAATTATTATACTCTTTTATTGCTTAGAAATCGATGAAACTTTGCAGTTGACATTACGCAAAGAAAACTGATCTAAGTGCAAATTACGTAGACTTTTTACAAACTAAAAGTAATAATATATTTAAAAACAATAATTATTTGCTACATAAAAATAACAACTTTTGTTTTCTGAATATCAGAGAAACCTTTATTTTTGTAACTAAACCGAATTAACGTTATCTTACATCTGTAAGTTGACCATATCCCATTGGCCAAAATGAACTATTGGACCATTTATCTTGATAATACGATTCATTGACTATTGATCGATCTCCATGCCTATAAATCTGAGAGAAAAATTGTGTAAATAAAAAATAAATATGCGATATCAATAATAACATATGAATTAATATTACTTATAATATTATGATATTCTGTGTTTTTTTTTTATTTTTGTCCGTAAAAATTCTATGGACCGATTTTAACGTCTAATATGTTAAAAGAACCCGATTTTAATTGAGTTGAACCTATCTAGTTAAAACTTCCTTTAAATTTAAGAAATTTAAAAAAATGTATCAAACATACGGTACCGTTAAAAACGGAATTACCAGAAAACATTTCTATAACTAATATAACTTTTCTTTAAAGGACTCATACTTTTTATATTTTAATGCAGCAAACTAGAGATAATAAACTTTTATTTCGTATAATTTTTATGTAAATGATATGTATGTAATTCAATTCATAACTTAAGAACTATATAAATAAAAATGTCTTTTTTAATTGTAATAAAATAATGTATTATAAAATCTACAGTTTCAATATTATATTAAAAAATAATTCATTTTATAAGTAACATTTTTTATATATTTTTACTGTTTTTAATGCTATTTATTTACTTCAATTGAATTAATGTTTGGATGTAATTATTTTTCTTTAAAACTAAAACTTTTTTTTAAAGCAGTTAATTTTCTTTGATATCTTAAATGTTTGGGGTTATCATTATAGTTTGTAAGGCCACAAGAAAAAAAAATTATAGATCCTTTTTTTAGTATCAACCGTTATTCAATTATTTTTATTTCCTTTTTTTAATATTATCAGGACTTTTTTATAGCTGTAACCAAAATATTTCTTTTTATATAATACATTCTCTTTAAACTACTGAGCGCATGACACGATAAAACTCTATTGCTATCCTCTTTTATTAGTTAAATTATTAATAACGATACAACACGAAATAGCATTATTGCGACTAAAATTTAAAATGTGAAATTATTAATCAATTCGTGATAAAAATATTTTTGATGAGTTATTATGTATTCAGTTACATAGTTTAAATATTTTTGAAAAAATGCAAACATGTTAAACAGAAATCTTTGGTAAGATATCTTCTTACAATTAAAACATGTAAAATCTAAACAATCATATAGTTATCATATATAACAACATATAGTTTAACTAAAACTCATTTACTAAAGAGTGTGAATATTTTCTTATGATTTTTGTATAACATAACACACTAAAGTCGATGGTTATATTAAGTTAAATAGGGTCTTCTAATTAGCTAAAAATTCATTTTTATTATAATTTTTCGTGATAGGTAAAATTCAATTATAACAATTTGTGTCTAGTTTTATTTTGTGTTATCGTACATTTATTTTTTATTTGAAAACTAATAAACTTTGTTAAAAAAAAAAATTGATAACTTCAAATAAATATTAATAGAATTAATTAAATAATTTCATTAGAACGAAAAATAAACAAATAGATTCAATTGCAACCCAAACATTGTTTGTCAAACAATCATAGACATTATAACTAAAATAAATATTAGATAAAAAATATTACCCATAAAAAATAAGTATGGGAAATAAAAATAAAAATAAATAACTAGATCAATTACCATATTACATTATATAATAGGCTTCCAAAAAAAAAAAAATTTTTATCTGTTTTTGTGAAATTAAATATGCAAAATTATAAAATGTATAAATCTTTTACTAATTTAAAGTTCATGGTCTAACTTGAAAAAATTCTTCTCTTACGCAAATATTATAAAATAAATATGAACAAGATTTTTTGGGTTTTAATGAAGTTGACATACTAATAATATTTTTCATTGTTGTACAAATTCTTGACGCAAGAAATTTATAAATGAAATAAGTGTATAGTATTTTTGTCAATTTACATGACTCTCAGATGGAATATTTTCAAAACAAATTATGGTACTCGAGAGAGCGATTTACCAACTTATGTATCACGCAAAAATAAATGAAAAAGCCTAACTTTTTATTACTAGGAAAATGTTAACAATAGTTGCCGTTTTTAACTGGATTATAATATATGAGCTGAATTTTTCTAATAGCATAAAATAGTCCAAATAACTATATGTAAACATGGTTTTTAATGAAAATATGAATTTTAATGAACACATAATTAATAAAAAATCAAAAAAATTATCAGTTTATGTTTAATTATCTACCATAATTTATTTCAATTGTATTGTTGTGTTGGTTATATTTTATGTAATATCAACAACTTTAACTCGCGATATGCAAATGACAATACTAAAAGAATTAAATACCATAATATGTAGATATGAAATCACACAGTACTAGTTCAATCCATATTATCTTGAAAACTATTACTTGCCTTACTTAATTTTTAGCACAATTATTGACATTTTACCAAAAATTTATCAAAATTCGAAAGAAAATATATGAATATTATTATCAAATGAACTAATTAAAAAAGTATAGGGTACAGATGGGAGCAGATATTACGTTACTCCCATGGATTACGTTTTGGGAGTGAAATAGGATATTTATAAGAAAATATTATTGCATATTATTATGAAACATTGAAAGATCAACAGAAAAATATTATTTATAAATTTAAATTGACAAAGATCTATGTATTTGCTAAAGTTTATAAATATTTTCGAAAAGTGTGTCAAAAATTACAATTATCATTTAACGGGTGTAATTTTTCACTCTTTCGGTATTTTCGTTCAAATTAATAGACGGAGTAAAACTTTTATTATTTTATTTTATTTTTTTTCAACAATTGATTTTGAAGGCGTTTTATTTTTCGAATTTTTAGAAAGAATATGTGAAAGGTTATTCTAGACTACTATTTCTAAACTTTCATTCGAAAAACTTTAATTATAGATCTAAGTTTGTATTTTATTTTCTACTTTTTTTTAAACAAATATTTCGTTTGATTGTATTGAACTTTATAAAAATTATTGTAGCACACAAATAACTTGATTTTCTATAGGAAATGTGGGAAATTTACTATAGAAAATTTTTTATTAAACGTTGCTTTTGATAGTCATAATTTTTAATTTATTATTATCATCATTTTTTTGCCTTCTTATATTATTTGACAATTAATAAAGAATTCCATGAAGTTTAATTTGAATTTATTATTGTTTTAAAGGAAATCATTATGTTAAAGCCTCATTCTCGCCGAGAAACCTTAATAATAATCTTATTTCCTTATTATATAAATGTAATATTAAATTTAAATGTTTTTAATCTGTAAAATATAATTTATTTGATTTTTTATCTTCAAAAAAGTTATTTAATTTTTATTATACATGTGTATGAGTAATATTTATTGGTATATTATTCTCTAATCACAGCATAAATAAAAGAAAATAATCTGAAAATACGGACATATGCTGCATTTTACAGTAATCCAATAGAAACGATTTTTTTCTAATCGCTCAAACAACATTGTCTTAAACAAAATATAAGGATAATTGTACTTATAATAAAATTTAACACTTACATATGAATAAAGGAAAATATTACAAACATTGAGGTTCGATTGGATTTAAATAAGATCAAAACGAAAAATAGTAAAATAATAGACAAAAACATGATGTGATTGTTTCAAAACAAGCTTAAAAATAAAAAATTTACAACATGTAGTACTCACAATTGAAGAAAAAATAAGCTGCCCATATTTAGAACTCAAAGGATCAGAACTCAAAATATGTTCAATACATAAACCAAATATTATTATCATAAATTCTTTCATTACAAATATTGATAATAACAATTATATTTTTAATGTATGAAAAATTTAAATAATTAGAGTACTATGAAGTATTTTTAACAAAGCACTATTTTAAATTCATATTAAAAAATTTGTTTTTTCATATTAAAGGACTATTAAATTTTAGGTTTCAAACTAATAAATATAATACTTTGAGTTTATAAAAGTTTATCAATCTTTAATTAAAATTAGTATTATAATTGTGCGTCTATGGCAAAGACTATTTGGTCACAATAAACAAAACCAATATTGATAATCATTTATCGGTTGTTATCGTTTCTAAACAAAATAATAATATCCATGACTTTGCTCATTAACAGTCATAGATAACGTTTAGATACACGACACAAATGTCTCAAGTAATCATCATATTAATAATGTACAAAGATCTATCAGCTAATATCTAAATAGAATATTAATTAATGTCAACGTTAATCGATTATTAAAAACTAAGATACGCCAGGCTATCATCGATGAAAACTTTTCTAATTTAATTAGATAATAATATTTAAAATCATAATGCAAAAAAGCATCCAAGTGATATAATTAATGAATCAGAGATGGTTTAAGCCAAATTTTAGGGGTTTGTAATTTATAATTTCTAACAAAACCATATAAGATTACTTCAAACCAAATGTTTAAAAAATACTGATTTATAACAACAAACAGTTTTGATAATTCAAATTTGAAAAGACCAACATAAACTTCCGAATTGTCTCGAGCACAAACTTCTGAGAGATTCAAAATAAATCTTTTCATTAAAATTATAATACCCTCGCAGGTATAAATCAGGAGTTTCTTAGGTGAAGTTTTAGGTTAAGTTGACCATGTAATTAAAACAAACGATTAATCAAGATAAAACAAATTCTAATTGACAATGATTAAAAGTTAGGAGCTTTGTCACGTGTTGGTAAATTGTTTGCTTCTAATTTTACTTCAAAGTATTAAGAGTACTATAATTCATTGTCATTCATCGAGCGTGGAAATATTTTAAGAGGATCACATATTTACTTCAAATTATCTGAAGGATGAACTGCCAAAAGATGTATATACTTTTACCTAATTTAAACACGTCACAACCTTCTAAGAAACTTTTCTACGCCTTATGTTAAAATTAGCACTCAGTTTGTACCCTATTTATAATTATTAATAACTAACTTTTTTTACAATTTTATTAAATAATAAAAACATGAATTTTATCTAAGTTTTAAATGTAAAACTGAAATCAAGATTTAATTTATTTTTCTAATTAACTTTCGAATCAAATTCTAATATGTTGCAA